CAGAACTTTCTCAAACACACACTTTTTTGGTAGACCAATCAGTTTAACATTTAAGAGTTAATTGTGAACCACATTTCATTAAACAATGCCGAAGCATGTAAGAGAAGTGTACATCACACTCCGTGTTTATTCAAATTAAGTGTATCGAAGTTCGCCAAACAGATTACTATAAATAAACTATTTTGTAGGCATCGACCTTGTAATTTGATAAAAGTTATTTGTCCTGGACTCGGTGTCTCATAGTCGCTGTAGCGAATGGCGAACTTTTTACACAAGGAGGGCCAAGCACCCTTTTCATGCAACCGACTAGGAGTCGATGGAGGTCGAAAGGCTTTTGGAAGGGAGATTGACAGGTTCCAAGTCCTCCCTCTCGGTGGTGGAAGGCAGTCACAGAATAGGGAGTGTGATGTTGTGGGGCCTCGTCTATGGCCCGACGGCCACAGCCCCATCCAGCCACCATGGCAGCCGCGAAACACATCAACAAAACACTGAAGTAGAATCTAAGAGCAGCTTGCAGTGCTTTAGCTTCCACCTTCTCGACTACCAAACGCAGCCTCTGCCTAAAATTGGAGGCATTTTACAGTGCAGAAGTTCACCTCCACCGAACACTTGAAAGTACACTAAAGCCACTCCATGTTTGGCATGGAAAAGGATGTAAAACAGAGGGAAGGGGGGGAAAAACATTTCCCAAAAACCTCTTCCAATGCTTACGAGTTTTGGAATGGGAGAATTTAAAAACACCAAAAGGCGGAAAATCGTGGGTTTTGATAATACAATCATTTTTTTTTGGGCTAAGCAAACAATGCTGCCATTGCAGAGCTTTTGGATTTCCCTTTTCTCTCTCTCCTTCAAAAGGCCTAAAATAGCAGCAGGCGGGCTGTCAGCGAATGTCAGTCTTGATTGATGGACCGGTTCTCTCTTCATCCCTTTTTTCCTCTATTAGAGTTGGTAAAAGCTCTCGAGACGTGTGCCGCCCCTTTTTTTTTGTGTTTGTTTTGGGTCCCAACAAAGGCCTTTTTCTACCTGCTTGATTACATTCTAATAAAAAGGGATATTTTTTTTTAACTTTTGATGAGAACTACGACAAAAGTAAATGTGTCCGGAGGCAGAAATTTAGTCGCCATAACTAAACACACACAATGAAGGCCTTTTAATTTGGAGCAATTTTTTTTTTACTATTCTCTGGAAAGGCACTGCAGATTGTTTGTCATCCTCTCAACCCCTCGAAGACCGTCAAGACGGAAGGGAGGAGGGAAGTAGGGGTCCGCTTTAGCCAACTTCTCAATCACTAGTTACCATGGCAACCGCCTTGCATGCGCTTTTATTACCCCCACTTTCTTTGCAACATTTGGGATGTTGCACCAGCAGTGATTCGTAATTTGCCTTGTTGGTGCCGTAAATTAAACAGCGACTTTCTTTCTCTCCT